AAACTTCGTAGCGCTGTATAATGGGATCCATCCAAACCCATTGAATCATCAATGATAGGGTGCAAATGGGGCCTAGTGTGCTTATTTTATTTATATGACAAATTTAACAATGAGTGTTTCACTATTTGAGGCTTTTTGGAGTAGAGTAGTTTTAAAAAAAAATGCCACCTGTGAGCAGGGCAGGTATACATCACCTTTTCTGCTAGACAATATCTTTAAATCCAATAAAAACACATAAGGCAAAAAATAAAGAATAATAATTAGGAATAGTCACACAACTATACCCCCAAATGTTCCTAATCCAATTATATTTTATCTGGATACAAAAATGGTTAAACTGTAATTTTACACCAGCAAATGTTTGTATCCAGCAACTGTTTGTCTGTGCGGCAGGAAGGAGACAGGTGTGTAAGATCTGTCCCATGTTTTGGGATCTGCATTGTCTTTTTTCAGGGGTTAACTGAGCCTATATTTTGAGAAGGGGAGAGAGGCATAAACAGGTGATCATCTAGTCCCTTCCTCATTGGACAGACTTGAACTTCTTGTTTAATATAGTTTGTGTGCAGGCTTAAAGGACCACAATACTGCCAAGAAAACAAACTTGTTTTCCTGGCATTATAGGGTCTTTAGGTCCCCCCCACCCTCATGGCCCCTCTCCCACCGGGCTGAAGGGTTTAAACGCATACCTTTCTCCAGCGCCCGGCGCTGGGGAACTCTCCTCCCTCTTCCGACGTCAGCTTTGAATGCGCATTCAATCAGTCCATAGGAAAGCATTTCTCAATGCTTTCCTATGGATGTCGTCTTCTCACTGATTTTCACAGTGAGAAGCGCGGAAGCGCTTCTAGCGGCTGTCAATGAGACAGCCACTAGAGGCTGGATTAACCCTAATCTAAACATTGCAGTTTCTCTGAAACTGCTATGTTTACAGCAGGCAGGGTTAATCCTAGAGGGAGCTGGTAACCAAATCAATTCATTGAGCTGAAGTGGTCTGGGTGCCTATAGTGGTCCTTTAAAGCAACTCTGTAACACCAACGTGTTTAGTTTATTTTTTTCAATACATCTCGTTGTCTTGTTTAATCTATTTCTCTTGTCTCCCAGTTGTGTTAATTTTTATCATTACACTGTGACCTGCTGGATCGCCTTTGCAGTCAGCACCATAACTATTTATTCTGTGATCACATGAACTGCTTAAGAGCCGGGTTTCTTTTTCCATTCTGGGAGGTTTGCAACTGTGATAGGAGGATGTCGGGAGTTGACAAGAGCATCAAGCAGAGATTGTAGCTCCAGTCCTTTCTCATATTTGGTCAACATAGTCCCTATTTTTTCTTATGTATTAAAAAAAAGGGTCCTTTTATTGTGGCCAGCCTAAGGCACACCTGTGCAATAATCCTGCTGTCTAATCAGCATCTTGATATGCCGCACCTGTGAGGTGGATGAGTTATCTTGCCAAAGGAGAAGTGCTCACTAAAACAGAGTTAGACAGATTTGTGAACAATATTTGAGAGAAATAGGCCTTTTGTTTACATAGAAAAAGTCTTAGATCTTTGAGTTCAGCTCCTGAAAAATAGGGGCAAAAACAAAAGTGTTGCGTTTATAATTTTGTTCAGTGTATATATCTATGAATCTATCTTGTTCCTCATTCTTATATCTTTATTTTTTTTTATTTTTTAATGTGTTTATTTTGCTTAACTAAAGGCTTCAGATATTCGTACACCGGTGCGATTGTTTTTCTGTTAAATCCCTTATTAGAATGTTCTCTGTAAGAACTAGATGTACAGAAAGTATCATGCTGTTAGCTCCCTATGTGTTCTGCTGTTTCTTTGTGTACATTTGTTTCTTAAAATAGCCAGCATACACTGTAATTGGGCAAGGGAATTGGGGAAGCTTCTCTAGCAGTCCTTTATTTTATTATTAATTTATCCCAAAGCATCAGGGAGGCAGGAAAAGGCTGTGCAAAGCCTTCAATGGTATATTAGCCATTCAAGCTGAACTGCTCCTGGTTAATATGGTTCAAGGAGAGTAACATTTTTAATGTAACCCCCTAAAGCACTTTAGCTTGCTGAAATGCTTTATGTGTGAAGAGTGTGTTCTCTATTTTTATTTTACAAAAAGTGCATATTTTAATAGAAACACAATTTAGACACTTTTATAAATTAAGCTGGTTACACCCCCTTGGCTGTCAATCAGACAGCAGGTCCTGTTACTTCCTGGTTTAGTTAGTGAGATAAACTCACATGGCAGCAATTGCCCGGAGCACCTGCATTGCAAAGACTTCTCATTGAGCTGCATTGGGAAGTCTGTGATCTTTGGCTTTTGCAAGCAGTGTTTAGATATATTATTATTATTATTATTATTATTATTATTATTATTATTATTATGATATTTATAGAGCGCCGTCAAATTCTGCAGCGCTTTACAATGGGTGGACGAACAGACATGTAGTTGTAACCAGACAAGTTGGACACACAGGAATAGAGGGGTTGAGGGCCCTGCTCAATGAGCTTACATGCCAGAGGGAGTGGGGTAAAATGACACAAAAAAGTAAGGATAGTATTAGACTAGTGACAGTTGCAGAAGAGGAATCAGTCAGGAGCTATTAACAGTTTAATTGATACGCTTTTATGAAGAAGTGGGTACAATTAAATACATGCATGTTTTCATTGGTGGTATATGTACTATATTTGATTATTTTTATTTGTGCTATGGAGTGTCCCTTTAATTAGTTTCAACTTAAAGCCCTTTTAGTACCAGTGAAAATGTTCTACATTTTTAAAGGGAGGCTATAGTGTTGGTAACCAAAGTTTTTTTTCCTGGCACTATAGCTTCCTATAGAGCCCCCCTCAGTTGCAGACCTCCTCCTTCTATCACTTACCTTATTCCAGCGCCAATTTTCCTCGGCACTGGTTCAGACTCCACCTCCACACCTTCACCACTTTTCTATGGGGTTTTGGATGACACTGGATGTCCTCATGCATTGTTCGAGGACGTCCATCATCAGTTAGGTGACCGAAAGTCGCCTGATGACTCAGAATTGTCTCTTGTGGCTGACTACCTGTTAACCCTCCAAGGCAATTATTGCAGTCTCTTAAAAACTGCAATAATTACAATTGCAGGGTTAAGTAACCTGGGATGCTGTACACAGACCACTTCAGTGAGCGGAAGTGGTCTGGGTGCCTATAGTGTCCCTTTAAGCTTGAAACACTGCACATCCAGCGTTATTGGCAATTGTGTGCCAGAAGCTAGTTGCACCCCCAGCACATTTGACTTAGGCAGCTCAATACTCTGCTCCGGGCTGCCTAATGCTAATTCTGTGCATACATGTAATCTGTACTTCCATTCTATCCTCCCAAACCCATCCGATATATTTATTTGCTCCTGCCCTCCCTCCTTGCTGGCTCAGAGCATGTGCTTAAAATAGGGAAGGATAAAAGACTGAGCAGACTCTGTCCAGAACTAAACCTGTGACCCTTTGACACATTGGACAAAATGGACACATTAACCAACTAAGCTATCTCACCTAAAATAAAAACCTGCATTAAAGAGGACAAAGCCTACAAACATGTATCCAGCTCTGCTCTTTATTCAATGCAGCTATCCAGCCCTTGATTTTTAAATTCAGTGCAACTTAACATGATTTCCAGTTTAACGTACAAATCTGTCAGTGGATGTTTTTGATTTTATACAGTGAAAGTATTGTTTAGAGACTTTATAGTTTAGCCTCTAAAACAAACTCAGCATGACTCAGTTGTTGATAGTCTTTTGGAATCTTGCACATAATTGACCTGTTTTTCTCTCAAGTATTGTCGTGGAACTGTCAGTTTAAGTGTTGGGCCCCAGGCAAAATGAAATTGAGAATTCATGAACTATGACAAATAACTTAACAATCATAGGATGAATCGGGTTGCCCTACTTGTGGAAGGAGACAGCTAAGGACTTATTATGATAGCAGCCTATTGATAGTAAACTCATTACATGACAATAATACTATTATTACCTCATTATTACCTTATTGCCTTGACAAACAGGATGGGTATGCATTGATTTGTGATGGTCTATAAACATTTCTTAAAAGTAAATCTTAGGGCAACAAACAGCTACAGAAATACATATATTCTTTAAAACTCTTAACATGTTCACAAATATTTATTTATACTCAAACAGGGAAGGCATTATATATGATTTTTTGTTTAATGCATTTTATTTATCAATTTAGAAACAAAAACAAAAAAAAGTCATCACGTTCGATGCAATGTTAGAGTAGACTTATTTTTTTCAAAATGAAATCCACTTTAAAATGTTTCACTTCATCGTTAATAAAACGTAACCACATTAGACCACATCCACTATAGGAAAATATTGAAAACTTTACTGGAGCTGTATACATTCAGATAATGTTCCAAGCTGAATTTGGCTGTCAACATCTAACTGGCATTACTTCCACCAACTGCCCAAGTATTAACAACGAATGGTGTGATTAGGCATTAAAGTACAAGTCAAGTAATTCACAAAGGTAAAAGCTGACTCATGTTTGGTGGTATAAAATATAAAGGGGTTTAGAAATCTTGCTGCATGATGATTGGGACATGTAGGTCCCGGCACTGGGCAGGCAAATAGTTTCTGCCTCGGGCAAGCGGCAGGGCTGCTTTAGGGGACTTAAGGAGGTGCAGACCACAGTAAATGCTCCTTCGCAGTCCAGCACTCACTAATTGGTATTCCCAGTTTGCTACAATACACACATTAACCACGGCCAGTTTACACATACTACACAGAGCCAGCACACAAACTATAGTGAGACATTCAGGGTTATTCATTACATTTTCACACATTTAATCTGAAATACTGAGTGAAAAGTTTGTGAGTAGCTGAATTGGATAATTTTTTTGTCTCCACCTTGTATTGTCAACCTCTTTTGGTCGTGTAACTGATGCTTGACATCCTCACGTTCTGCATGAGGACATCCAGCGTCATCTAAATCCCCATAGGAAAGCATTGTAAAATGGGGTAGAGCTAATGTGAGTGCAATAGTTGCCGTGCACGCGCATTAGGTGCCCCTCCTGATGGCTGACATCGGCGAAGGAGGAGCAGAGATATAGCCTGACCCAGTGCCAAGGGATATCAGTGCTGGAAAAAAAAACAGAAGAGTTTTTAACCCTTCCAGTGCCATGGAGGGCAGGGGTGGAGATCGCAAGAGAGGGGGGCATTGAGGTCACTATAATGCGAGGAAAACAACTTTATTTTACTAGCACTATCGTTTCCCTATAATACAGGCTCCAGAGAAGGTTTCTTTTTGAAATATGTTTATCGGTAACATCGGACTAAACACCGCGATTTCACTGCTGTCTCTTGATAATGACACACCGGGCACATCGAGCTGAATGGGTACACGAACCGAGCAGCTGTAGGTTGAGTTACCTTCACGTCCTGCAGTGCATCTTAAGCACTGTCAACAGACTGTTTTAATTAACCTAAAAATAGGCAAATTGACAGGGGGCGGAGGATGAATGCACGGTTCATTTTTGGATCTTTTTAAGCGTGCCATTAAGCACTTAGAGATGCTTCAGTCTTGGGCCCCATTCCCAGTTCCTCCAGCACAGGCTTAGATGGGTCACTTCCCTGAGCATGATAATTGTCCTTGTGTATTACAAATTACTATTGATTTCCTCTAAGAAGCATCTGCTGTCATCAACATTACTGTAATGGATGTCTTGGCTGCATACTGACCTACGTTAAATGAATTCACTTTCTATCTATATAATAATGTGGTAATCTGAAATAAATGTATTTTATTCTCTATTTTTCTTTACATCACATTTTTATATACTTAGATATTTTATATACATTTGTTTCACTCGTCATTCAACCATATAATTAAAAAAAAATGTAAAAATACTTTAAGTTCTTGTTGGCTTTTTAGTTTTTTTTCTTCTTGTACTCAGTAACCATCTCTAAGCATTTATTTTAGGGCTAATTACTAAAATCAGACTTTGTAGAGAAACGGGAAGTATTTCATAATAAGCATGGAGGAAAAATAGCGTTCTTTTTTCGATTCGTCTATATTTTTCTCAGATTTGCAATTTGCTTGTCTTTTGATAGGACCGTGACTGTGACCTGGGGACTGTTGGGAGGTAGGATACCAGGGTCAGTGAGAACAAGTCATATTTTGGAAAAGAGGATTAGAAATCAAACAAGGAGAAGAAGAAAAATATACAGAGATCACAGAATACTGGTGCAGATCCTTTTTGCTGCTGGCATAATTGACTCAGCATTTTTAATTTCCTTTGCTGTTTTTATACTGTGTATTTCTTTGAGATCAAATACAAAGCAAATTGTAAAGAAGCCCTAAGTGCTGCTTTAATATGCATTTCTGGGTTAGTGCAATAATGTTTAAAAGGTAAGTGGTGATATAATGATATTTTTACATTTCTTTGTAACAATAAAAATCACAGTTAGAAATAAGAGGTTAATTATTTACATTGCTAACACGACAGCCGTACACCTCTTCGAACATTAACTATAATTAATAAAGGGCTCAAAATTGCCACTAGCCTTTGGCAAGTGGAAATCTATCACTGACGAATAGAAATTCACCCCTGGACGGTAAACTATGGCTTGCAGTGGCAAGTAACTTTTAAGGCCTGGCTAGTAACACTGATTAACAGATAAATGAATAAAGCAAAGTTAACTGTATCATTATGAGAAATACTGTATTGGAATGTTACTCAATGGTTTCACAATATCTATTTTCTTTGCAAAGCAGATACATGGGAAATGGCAACTGGCAAAATATTTTTTTTTTAAAAAGTGTTCAAGGGATTGGACAATGGATCACTATGTCCAGAAAGATCATGTCATGCTTTTCCCATTTAGACATAAATTCAAATCAACAGCTGTCATCTTTAGCAAATGCTATTTCCTGTTGGTATGAACGTTTAAGGATACAGTGTGCCAGGCCATTATTTCTTCCACAACACTCGTGAGAATAGTTATACTTTCCCCTTTAAATGATTTTTGTGCCAGCAGCTCTCTGACAGCTAAAATTCCCTTCTTTGCACTGCAATTATTTAAAAGCTTATTTTTCCTACTATGGTAGGATTGGAAAAATATTAAAAACATTGTCGTCCAGATAAAACGCTACAAAACAGACTTGAAATGGTAGCCTCAAATTCGAGAATTCTGTAGTTAATGTCTAAATATTTTTGATGGTGATTTTAATACACGTATGAATTCCTGTTTCTTTGCCAACTATGTTGAGCATTTGGATAAGGAAAAAACACACAGGTAAATAAGAAGTGGACTAGGAGATGAAATAGACATATATTATAAACATTAAATTTTTATTTTTTATAAAATAGACGATCTACCTGCCACGTAAATGAGCATTTCATTTTTTAGAATCACATACGACATGGATAGTGCTGTCATCCTTCCAATTATTCCTAGAAATATGTCCCGGTCTGACTGAGATTAGTGGGAGTTACAATCTTGAGTGGCATTTGCTGCCATTAATAACTGCAGCTTTAATAGCAGCCATCCAGGATTGTAAATCTCACTAATCACAGGGTACCTCAGGGATCTGTACTTGGACCCATTCTCTTTAATATTTTTATTAGTGATATTGCAGAAGGTCTTGATGGTAAGGTATGTCTTTTTGCTGATGATACTAAGATATGTAACAGGGTTGAAGTTCCAGGAGGGATAAGCAAAATGACAAATGATTTAGGTAAACTAGAAAAATGGTCAGAATTGTGGCAACTGACATTTAATGAGGATAAGTGCAAGATAATGCATCTTGGACGTAAAAACCCAAGGGCAGAGTACAGAATATTTGATAGAGTCCTAACCTCAACATATGAGGAAAGGGATTTAGGGGTGATTATTTCTGATGACTTAAAGGTAGGCAGACAATGTAATAGAGCAGCAGGAAATGCTAGCAGAATGCTTGGTTGTATAGGGAGAGGTATTAGCAGTAGAAAGAGGGAAGTGCTCATGCCATTGTACAGAACAATGGTGAGACCTCACTTGGAGTATTGTACACAGTACTGGAGACCATATCTTCAGAAGGATATTGATACCTTAGAGAGGGTTCAGAGAAGGGCTACTAAACTGGTTCATGGGTTGCGGGATAAAACTTACCAGGAAAGGTTAAAGGATCTTAACATGTATAGCTTGGAGGAAAGACGAGACAGGGGGGATATGATAGAAACATTTAAATATATAAAGGGAATCAACACATTAAAGGAGAAGACTATATTTAAAAGAAGAAAAACTACCACAACAAGAGGACATAGTCTTTAAATAGAGGGACAAAGGTTTAAAAATAATATCAGGAAGTATTACTTTACTGAGAGGGTAGTGAATGCCTTCCACCTGAAGTGGTAGAGGTTAAGACAGTAAAGGAGTTTAAGCATGCGTGGGATAGGCATAAGGCTATCCTAACCATAAGATAAGACTAGGGACTAATGAAAGTATTTAGAAAATTGGGCAGACTAGATGGGCCGAATGGTTCTTATCTGCCGTCACATTCTATGTTTCTATGTTTCTATGTTTCTATGTATATACCAGTGCTGTACTTGGGTTTAGGCCACACTACACTATTCCTTAAATATTAAAGGGTGCACTCCAGACCCCTAATGCCCTTCAGCTTGCTAAAGTACTTTATGTGTCAAGAGCATTTTTTTCTCAAAAAATGCAGATTTTATTAGAAATTGTCTAAATAATAAATTAACCTTGTTACACCACTTGCTGTCAATCAGGCACCGCTCCTGTCCCTTCCTGGTTTGGTTAGCTCAGTGGAGATAAACTCAAGAGGCAACAATTGAAGCGAGTACCTGTCTTGCAAAGACTTCTCATTGAGTTGCATAGAGAAGTCTGTGATTGGACAGTCACAGAAAGTCTGGGCTGGGTTAGAAGGGCAGAGATTTGCAGCTTTTACAAGCTGTTTTAAATATACCCCCAATGAAAAGATGCAAATTAAATTCTTGCATGTTTTCATTGTGGGTATATTTACTAAATAGGGATTTTTTAAAATTTAAGCAGTGGAGTGTCCCTTTAATAAACATTAACCCATACAGTACCCTAACACACTGTACTAAACATTAACCTCTAATTCTACACTATCACTAAACATTACTCTCTACATTGTTCTAAGACTAACACTAATGCTCAGATAATAATATAATGTAATTCTGGTTTCTGGAGTCGTTTATTAATCGCATTATACATGTATATTTCTCTCTGTGTCACACAATGCCATAAAAACTTCATTGCATTGGGCATCTCGACACCTTACACCACTGGATCCCACGTCCCATAAAGACTATTTTGTTCAGCACATATGATGAGCTCAGACATTTATTCTCCATGTTAATAACATTAAATTATTTTGTGTCCCACAGTATATAATAAACACATTAACAACACAATGTTAAAAGAATGACAGCACAATATGGGGAAATTACTCTAAAAATCTATAAGAAATGTTTAAATGTAAAATGTTGTAACTGACCTGATATACAACTGATTAGCTTTTGAGTATTATATTTGATTCTCTTTGTCATTAAAGGTATCTTACCTAATGCATATTTCTATTTTATGTGTTAAAGGACCACTCTAGGCACCCAGACCACTTCAGCTTAATGAAGTGGTCTGGGTGCCATGTCCAGCTAGGGTTAACCCATTTTTTTATAAACATAGGAGTTTCAGAGAAACTGCTATGTTTATAAATAGGTTAATCCAGCCTCTAAAGCCTCTAGTGGCTGTCTCATTGACAGCCGCTAGAGGCGTTTGCGTGCTTCTCACTGTGAAAATCACAGTGAGAAGACGCCAGCGTCCATAGGAAAGCATTGTAAATGCTTTCCTATGAGACTGGCTGAATGCGCGCACAGCTCTTGCCGCGCATGCGCATTCAGCCGAAGAGGCGGAGAGGAGTAGGAGAGCTCCCCGCCCGGCGCTGGAGAAAGGTGAGTGTTTAACCCCTTCCTCTCCCCAGAGCCTGGAGGGAGGGGGACCCTGAGGGTGGGGGCACCCTCTGGGCACTATATTGCCAGGAAAACGAGTATGTTTTCCTGGCACTATAGTGGTCCTTTAATGAATTAAATTTGTAAACACTGTTACGTGGTAATAATTACATCTGATGCAGTGCTCTCCTGTTTGGTTTGTGATATGTTTTTGAATCTCAGCTTCTTTTTAACAAAAATGCACTAATCTGTAGTTAATATCAGTTACTGCGTTTTGCTGCTTG